TCATCTAGTTCTTTTATGGTTAAAAGTACCCCATGCCATGCTAGATAGGTTATAAACCTTGGAAAATAATATTTTGCATGTATCTTAGACAAACATAGATCCAAGGTTTAATAGGGTTGCATGTACACTTAGGAAGTGTTAGAATGCTCAAAACCCAACACTTAGGGCCGTGGGGTAGGTCAGTACCCGGATATGCCTGACTGTATGATTGTACCTTGCTGTTGTATGCTAGTGGTAGGGGTGGAATAGTCCCCAATTACCGGTTGAAAGATACCGATGATGGTTACCGGTTGAAAGATACCGATGACGATTACCGGTTGAAAGATACCGATGATGGTTACCGGTTGAAAGATACCGATGACGATTACCGGTTGAAAGTTACCGATGTTGGTTACCGGTTGAAAGATACCGATGATGATTACCGGTTGAGAGATACCGATGATATTGTATGGTATGTGGTATGATGGGGGAACTCACTAAGCTTTGTGCTTACGGTTTCGGTTTTGGTTTCAGGTACCTCTTCGTCTAAGGGGAAGGAGCCGGCGGCGTAGCATCGCATCACACACACATATGATTTCCGCATGGAGTTTTCTGGGATTGTACTCTTATATGTTATTATTCTATGGCTTGGGTTTTCAGATATGATACATTGTTTTATGAGATGATGTGTTTTCACAATATTTTCTTATGAATGTTTTTATGTGTTGTTTAATTAAAAAGAAATTTTTGGACCTGAAAATTGGGATGTTACATTTTTCATACATATTTCGCATCTCTGCTTCTGTCAACACAGGGCCCGTTGGCTTACTTCGTGAATGGAGCGAGTACCCCGTATAGGGTGTCATTGAAAGCATCAGATAGTATAGTTTCATTGACCAGCCCACTGTTTGAGCCTTCTGTATCTTCAGTACCTGGTGAATTTAAAGAAGAAGAGAAAATATTATTATAATCTGGGGTTAATGGGGTATGTGGTCCCTCCCCATGATTTTCGTTGGTGGGCCTTGAATTTTCCATGTTACCCATGAATATGGGTTGTACCATGCATGTGCTTCCTGACAAACTTTCATGCTTAGTCTCCTAATCCCATGATTTTGCTTCATCAAATAAGACATCACATGCCACAAAAATCTTTTTAGCTTTAGGATTATATAGTCTGTAAGCCTTGCTCCCAAGTTCTATACCTAAATGAACCATAAGTATGCTTCTATCTTCGAGGTTAGTGAGATTACCTCCCATCTTTTCTACAAAAGCCAAATAGCCAAATATTTTTAAATATTGCATATTTGGTTTTCTTTTCTTCAAGCCTTCGTATGGAGTAAAGTCTCCCATGGCCTTAGTGGGAATTCTATTAATAAAGAAAATTGCATGGCGTACTGCCTCCCCCACATTGGATTTGGTATGCTCATGCTTTTTAACAATGACCGTGTCATCTCGACTACTGTTATGTTTCTCCGCTCCACAACACCGTTCTGTTGTGGGGCATACGGTGTTGTGGTTTGCCTTTGGATTCCTTCTTCCTGGCAGAAATTGATGAAGGCTTGTGAGTTGAACTCGCCTCCCCGATTTGACCTTAGTATTTTTACCCTATGCTCGGTTTCCATCTCAACTTGAGCTTTGAAGATCTTGAACTTTGCTAACGCTTCATCTTTTGATCTGAGTAGATAAACCCACATATATCTACATCAATCATCAACAATAAATAAAAAATATTTGTTACCTCCCATCGATTGTGGCGTTATTGGCCCATAGAAATCAGCGTGCAAGAGTTCCAACGGTTTGGAGGCTCTCCACTGAGCTTCATTAGGGAAGCTTTGCTTGTTTGTTTTGCCACAACACACCCACTGCAAAACTGTTTGGGGTGTGAGACACAAGGCATTCCGGTCACCATCCCGTTCTTTCCCTTTATTTCTAAAGTGTGGAAGTTAGCATGTCCCAAGCGGGCATGCCGAAACCATGCCGGGATAAAATACACATCCGAGATCACTAATTGGTCGCCATTTTTACATTGGAACAATAGTGTACCTTTTCCTTTAATTGCAATCGTAGAGCCATCACCGAACCGAACCCGACCCGTGACGCTTTCGTTTAATTCTGCAAAGAAATTTCTTTCCCGGGTCATGTGATTACTTGCCCCGTTGTCGAAGTACCACATGTCACCATTGCTATCGTTCTGACTTTCATGCAGTTTAGGGAACACTTTTTCCTCATTTAACATTACCATTGATGGTATGTCCTCCCCTTGAACACACAACAGGAGAGTTAGTTCATCCTATATTCCTTCATCAAATTCACTTTTTGTTCCTATTACTTCTTGTTCGGGCATTCCGATGCGTAGTGCCCATATTGTTGACACTCAAAGCACCTTATGTGACTTTTTTCATGTGGATCTCGATTAGATCTTCCACCTTCTTGAGATGATTTCCTGTCATGTTGATCACCCCGACCTCGACCTGCCCCACGACCCCTTCTTGTGCTCCCTCTACCGCCTCTATCACCGTTCCAGCCTCTACCCCCACCACTAGGTGCCTTGTTCTTCTGTTTACTCATTGTTTGACCCTCCATCTTTGTGAGCAACAATGAATTTTCACCCGTCGATCCTCCTTGTAGAAGCTTCAACATGTCTTCGTAGGCTTTCAATCGACCTATTGCTTCCTCAAAAGGCATTTCTTCTACATCTGAATATTGCTCCATGGAAGAAATAAGATGAATGTATTTCTCTGTTACTGTAACAAAGAGTTTTCGAACCAATTCTTCATCATCCAATGTTGCACCGACACTATTATACTTTGAGATCATCCCGGATAACTTCCCCGCATACTCGTCAATAGACTTACCGTCCTTCATCCGGAGCGCCTCAAACTCACTCTTTAACGTGTGTAACCTGGCCTTCTGAACCCGTTCTGCTCCAACGAACCGAGTTTTCAGTGACTCCCACACTTCACGTGTTGTTTTCTTTTTAACCACCTGCATCATAATATCTTATGGTATTGCTTGGAAGATGAACACACGAGCCAATTTGCTTTTCTTCTCGTCTACAACCACATCTGTTGTCGGTTCGATGGATTCCCATAACCCTTGGGCATCCATTATGGCCTCCATCTTAATGGCCCACGTCGTATAATTCGTAGAAGTGAGAACCGGGAACTGAAAGGTAACTGGGTTTTCTTTGGGAGGGTTTGAGGTGTTTGTTACGAGAGACATTTCTGAGGATCGAATAATTTTTGGCACGTACAGTTAAACACCAGGCTTGTGCTCTGATACCAAGTGATAAATTCAAAGCCTTAAAACTGAAATGGTGATAACAAAGAGGATGAGTCACTCTTGTAATGCTTCATAACCAAAGCTTTATTGAATACTTCTTGACAGGGAAATACACTTGAACAAAAAAAAAACAGAACATAAACTAAAATGGAGCTACATGAAAGGCTGTTGTAACAAGCCTATTTATTCTTACAATAAAAGTAAATAAAATGCTGAAAAATTGGTCCACCACCCTAGTATCATGGATAATTGTCGACTGTTACCCATTCATACTCAAGCTAATAACTCTGTCAACATTAATCAACATTGAAATCAACATTAATCAACATTCTCCCCTTTAATGTTGACATCTTCAGTCCCAATTAATCTTCTCATCTCAGTGAACTTAATTCGAGGTAACGCCTTGGTTAAGATATCCGCCTTCTGCAGATCGGCACTAACATGTTCGACATGAATTTGACCCCGCTCCACAAACTCCACTATGAAGTGAAATTTAGTGTTGATGTGCTTGCTTCGCCCATGAAACACGATATTTTTCATCAATGCTATAACTGATTGATTGTCGACTAGAAGTTGCACCCTTTGAGCCTGTTTTCCTGTCAAAAAACTAACCATGTTTCTTAGCCACAACGCTTGACATGCTGCCGCTGTCGCAACCATAAATTCAGCCTCACATGAGCTTAATGCAACCGTTTGCTGTTTTTGAGATGCCCATGTGACCGGATTTTCTGAATAGTAGAACACCATGTCGGTCGTTCCTCTTCGGTCCTCAATATCAAATCCATAGTTGCTGTCACTATATCCGCAAATATTCCCATGTCCACCCTTTCGATACCTTAAACCATAACTAGTTGTACCCCTAAGATAGCGTAAAATCTGCTTTACAGCTACGTAGTGACTCTTTAGGTGACTGCATTAATTTACTTACTACCCCAACCGAGTAACTGAGATCAGAACAAGTATTAATCAGATATCGAAGGCTTCCAATTATACATCTGTACTTGGTTGGGTTGACTGTACTTGGTTGGGTTGCCTGTCTTCCCATGCATACCACATGAATATTACTAGTTATGGTTCTATGTTATTATTATTTTCTAAAAACAATAATTCATTTTTTGTTGTAAAAGTATTATTTTCATAAACTAACAATTTCTCAATTAAATACAAGTCTTAATATTTATTAATAATCAAAATTACTCTAATAAATAATCAATTAACTTGATATAAGATATGACCTTATAGGATCGCATGTCATTAACAATCTCATTCATCTCATTCTATAATACTACATAAACATCTTTCACTTACATCAACCAAACGAAATTTTTTCTTAATTTTAAAATTTATTTTAAAAGGTAAAAGCTTGGAAAGTTTGGCATTCTTTATTTTGAGTTTTCTTTTAATAGATAAAAGCTCCGAAATATTCTATGCTAAATTTGCCATCGTTGTTCAACCTATTAAGCTCGTTAGCTTAAAAATAAAATAAAATAAATAATAATAAGCATGCATTGATTGTCACAAAGGCCAAATGAAATGAATCTCTAAGTTTAGGGACAAACTCGTTTGTATTAGTAATTTCTTGACTAAATGGGTATAAATTAAAGCCCTTTGTTGAATACCATATAAACCCAAATTTGTAAGTTATAACACAAAATCTGCTTTTATGAAAAAATAAAATAAAGCATTTTTGATACTGCTAGTGCTACGATCCATATGGATGTCGAATAGCTGAAATAATCTCAGATAAGATTTAATCTTCTAGCTGAGGCCACTTGCTGAAGCCTAATCTGCTCTCTAAACTTGGCAATAAATTCATCGGCTTTCCTATCAACCTCACCAGAATGCGGTTCATGGTCACTCAAGTAGTCATCAAGATTCACATTCGTTGCATTGTTTCCCAAATTTGATCCCGTTTCAATTTCAGTAACAGTTTGATTTGGAATAGTTTCGGTTTTTGCTTTGAAAGCTTGTTCGTTAGGTCTCTTAGTTCTAACGGATTTACCCCTTTTGTAAGTATTGGCAACAGGGGGAGGTTTTTGAATCGAATTTGAAGAATCTTTTATAGTATCTTTCTGGATTTCTTTAGAATCTGAAAGATTTTTCATCTCAGAAGAAGAATCAAAGCTAAATTCTCGAGGTTTAGATTCCGCGAATGATGTTTCACCTTTCGATTCTTTGTTATCTGCAGAATTCTTCATCTGGGTTGGCGTGGAAACTCTCATTGATTGTGATCTTAAGTCAAGAATCCCAACAGAAGGTTTTGTAAAATGCGAAGTTTCATCTGGTATTTTCTCCGATCTCATTGATTTTGAACGCCAATTCAATGGAATTTGAGAGTTGGAATCAAAATCTGAATTGGAATCAGAAACAGTTTCTCTGAACTTCTCCTCTAACTTGATTGGAACCAAACCCCTAAACTTTCCCTTTTTTATTTCATCCCCAAAAGTTGAAGAAGAATCTTGAAGTACTGATTTCACAGCAGCAGAATCCAAACTTTTAGAACCAAGATTTTGTTTGATTGTTCTGCGTTTACTTAATTGCTCAAGAACAAAGTTTTTGTCATCAATAACAACCATGGATTCCCCTATAAAACTCTGATTTAGCTTCTTCCTATCAGATTTACGAAACCCATTTCCAAATTCAGAATCTCTCTCTTCAAACACGTATGGACTCTTAACCCCATCTTCGAAAATCGATGAAATATGTGAAATCTCAGACAAATATGTTTCTTTTGCACCATCCGATTCATCGGAACTATGAACACTATTCATTTTTCTGCTAAATAATCCATAACAAATAGCAATGCCGATAACTAAAAGGTAAATGAGCTCCCAAAGCTTGTTGATTATGGTGGTTTTCTTGAAAATTTCAGGAACTTGTGAAGGGAAAAATGAGAAAACGAGAAGAACAAGTATGATTATCAGAGATTTAGAGAAGAAATAGTGTGTGAAAACGGACTTACTTTTTGGGGGTTTGGCGGGCATTGAAGAAGAAAATGGAGGTGGATTTGGATCTTGAAGATGGGTTTTGTTCGAAGAGTGTGACGATGAACCCGCCATTGTTGACGATCATAGAAGCTTTTGCATTTTTTAGGGTGTTTGTGAGTGAGGAAGAGGGATAAAGGAGATAACAAGGGTCAAAACGGTGAGTGGAAAAAAGTAGGTGGATATGAAGCACCTTTCAAAAGTGTAATGCTTTTACCGTTTGGCAAAATTTACCCTCCAATTTTATTTCCTTTTTGCTTAAACTACAAAATCTATACTAGAGTTATCTATTTAAAGAAAAGAAAATATATTTATTCACTAAAATATCATATACGAGTTTATATAAGTTGGTATTTTTTTGGGAAATTAAATTATTAAGGTAATTAATTTTTCGGTTTGTTTACATCTAGATATGAACGGCTGTAGCAGGTTACATCCGGTCATAATGGTCATATGTGAACAATTTCAACAAATTTGTTATCTAGATGTGTATAAAAAAACAAGTTAGCAAAATATGAGCAAAACAAAAATATAAGAGTAAATTACACAAATGGTCTCTATGGTTGGGGTAATTTGTGTGTTTGGTCTCTAACTTATTTTTTTTAACTCGGATGGTCCTTACTGTTTATTTTTGTTGCGCGTTTGGTCCTTGTTTTACCTAAAACGACTATTGTGCAATTATTAATTTTATTTTTTACTTAATTTTCTTATTTATGTATTTATTTTTTATATATTTAAAAAAATTAATAGACCCCACATATTTATATCTTCTCACCCTAAACCTGAAACCACATTAGAGAAATTTAATCTGAGTCCCACTAGTCACCATCTCATATATCTTCCTCCTCAACTTTTATTTCCTTTCCACCTTTAGTGACATCGACGTCTTCACCATCCCTTCTTTTTTCGGTCCTTCAACTCCGACGAACCAACACCACAACTCACTGTCTCTTCATCGAATTTCCACCACCACAACCCAATATATCACAATCCTTGCAGGACAAGAAAATTGATACGAGAAAGAAAAATTGGAGAACTAGATCAATTTAGCAAGCAAATAATTCACTAAGAAGGTACCTATCAGAAGCATAAACATAAGAATACCATAAAATAATTAACAAAATGATAAATAGAAACATACCAGTAACGACGTCTGGCGCTGCCTTAGCCTCCTCTGTTGTGAGCTGAAAAGCACGACCTCGAGTCCTCGGGGGGATCCACCCTACCCTGACACCCATCGGTGATCCTCAGAAGAATATCGAAAAGAACCATCATGAACCTTATCGTACTTGCCACAAGTGCGACCACTCTAACCCCCAGACCTCACATCAGCGGCCTTGAACCAATTTACTGCAGGTTGCGCCTGCATCGGAGCCTGCCTACTCTCCCTAGCCTGGAGCTCCATCTCAATCTCCCGCCTCATGACGCTCCACAAGTGTACCATAGCGCTGAGTGGACACAAACTGGTGGATGTCTGTCTTGAGCATGCTCAAGTACCGGGTGATCTGAGCTTTCTCAGAAGCAACAAACTTAGGACAAAACAGAGCCCTATCAGTAAACATCTTGATGATCTCAGTTACTAACTCAGTCCCCTGCCTCAGATCCAAATACTCCTGGTCCAGCCTCTCGTACTCTACCAAACGAAACATATCTCATATGAAACATCTCAAAGAACTACTCCCATGTCACATTAGCCTTCCGCTCAGGGGTGTACGAACCAGTCACCAATCTCCACCAGTCCTTCGCTCCTGACCGAAGAAGGTTCATAATGCACTTGACCTTCTGGTCAGCGGGGCATGAGCACGTAAATAAACACCCATCAACATCGGATAACCACCTCATCGCAATGATCAGATCCCGAACTCCATCGAACATTGGGGATTTCGTATTATCGAAGTCCCGGTACTGGAAGGCTCTCTCTTCACATACCCCAGCGGCTGCAACAGTCGTGGTGGCTGCAACAACAGCATCCTCAGAAAGTGTCGCATAATGATCGTCGAAAATCTCAATCATGGCAGTCTTGGTAGACCCAAACGACTCTGGTATCGATCCCCGGACAGAAGTAACAACCTCAACAAAAATCAACTCCCTACTCGGATCCTCAGTCAACCCTGGCCTATCCTGGCCGCCCGCTCCAGCTCTTGAACCCGATCCCCTCGTGAGCACCATACTGAAAATAAACCAGAAAATATCAGACAAGGCACATTTCATACCATACGAGCTATTCCAAATAATGAAATTCTAGGGGTTGGGACTTCCCTGCTACGTATACGGGTCATGTGCTTCAGGTAGTACAGACCGATACTACCTTCCACACCTACCCGTATTTGTCTTAGAATATCATCACAATAACCCTAACAGCACACACTAGAATACGCGTACATCCTATTCTCATTCCCTAGAGAAAGGCTAGACATTCCTTAACTGGCCGACTGCTCACACATAACCTATCCATGAAACTTCCACCAACCCCGCAACACATGTGTATGCTAATCATACATAGCATTGGATCCTATAGATAGTTGAATACCTGATTCTACCCTAAGCCCTTCATCAAACAAGAATAGAAAATAAGACCAAACCAAACATTCTCAGGCTATAGAATCTTAGTTATGCACAACTATGATGCATACACTAAGCAACTATAGTAATGATGTCAATTCCATACAAGATATAATCCTAGGCTATCAGCCTACCACTAGCATGCTGTTCTAACATAAACATAATATAAAATAACAGTGTGGGTAATTTGGGGTATACTTTCTTGCTCCAGTTGATCGTACACATCACATCCTTCCTTGGCTACTTTTGAAAACAATTTTGAAAACCAGTTTAAAAACTTTTGCAGTTCCCTAGTTTGAGTCTGGAATCACACGGATGTTCATCCAATTCTCTCAAACCAAGGCTCTGATACCAACTTGTAACACCCCGAAAATCATAGAAATTTTAAAAAATTTAAAATCAACCATTAACCAGCATTGTTTACAAAAAGCGTCATTGTTTCAAAAGTATCATTTAAAATCAGAGTTTTCCTAAGATCTAGTAACATAAACAGGAAGATGTGCATATAACATCCCAAAAATTCGAGCCAATTTAAAAACTTCTTGATTCATTTGAAACCATTCAATTATTACAATTTGTTTTCAAAATAGTTTATACATCAGAGTTCCCAGAAATCATAATCGTAAATCGAGGAAGTGTACGGTCGCGCCTTCGCCTATCCGCTGAACCTGAAACAATAAGCTGAAAACTGTAAGCCCGAAAGCTTAGTGAGTTACCCCCAAAATACCAACCTCATATAACCATAATCATATCATATCAACAAATACAGTACAACCATGCATCTCGGGTATACAGTGTGACTGGTCTGCCCGCACCGGGCCTTCAGTCCACCCGGTCCACTCTCTGAGTCTACAGTATGACTGGACCGCCTGCACCGGGCCTACAGTCTATCTGGATCTATCCCGAGCCTTCGATATGACTGGACCGCCATACGGGCCCACAGTCTATCCGGACCGCTCGTAGGGTATGTTGGCCTTCAGCACGAAGCAGGACCGCCTCAACCCAAACATCAAGCAAATAACCATGTGCACATATAACAGGTAATCACATAACACTCCATAGACGGACAAACCGATCTAGCAGATCATATAGTATAGCAACATCCTAACCAGGATACCGACCTAACCGGTTACTAACATAGCATCATCCTATATACCAGGATACCGACCCTAACCAGGTCACAAAACATAATACCGTCCTAATTACCAGGACGCCGATCTAACATATCAATAAACACATCAACAATCCTATAACAAGGATATCGACCTAACCGGTCACTAACATACCATATCACCATCCTAACTACCAGGATGGAAATCAGTAAGCATGTCATGCAATAATCCAAATACAAACCATAAAGGGCCGACATTGGTGCCTTAGACCCTGTTGATATAGTGAGGATAACTCACCTTGCAATGCCGGACTGAACCACGAAAACACGCTCCCGAAACACTGCCCCAAACTCCAACACCTATAACCATCAATGATCCAATCATAAATACCCATAAGTTCCCAACCTTTCAAGGTACCCCATAAGCCAACTAATCACACCCTGGTCAAAGTCAAAGTCATCAGTCAAGGTCAACAGTCCATGTTGACCCTAACTCGCCGAGTACCCTCGGCTACTCGCCGAGTTCTTTGAAGTACTTGTCCACTCGCCGAGTCACCGGAGTGACTCGTCGAGTTCCTTCGGTTTACGATCGAAACCCTAAGGCCACTCGTCGAGTTTCCTTCTTGCAACTCGACGATTACACACGCATACATAAATTGGGGAAACCTCAACCGACTCGCCGAGTTGTTCATACAACTCGTCGAGTTTACGGCAATCTTCATCGGACTCGCCGAGTTGTTCATCCAACTCGTCGGGTCCAGGCTCATCTTCATGTGACTCGCCGAGTCAACCTTGCGACTCGCCGAGTTCGTTTTAGTCCTTAAGCCATACAGACTCTTTTTAAGCCATGTTAAGACGCCATACTGCAGATCCAACTTCCCAAGGCATGCTTATCACGTAAAGTTGCAAACTTTACGTGCATGCAAGGCTCTAATGACTCATAATGCCAAATCCAAGCTTGAAATGGGGTTTTACACTTAAGGAGGGGTTCATACTTGCCAAAGCTGATAGCTTTAAGGACTTACAAATCAAAGATAGTTCAGATCTGAAGTTACAACTTCAGATCTGGGCTCATACCCAAAAATAGCCTCATAACCAAACCAAGAAGCCCTAATTTCATCCAAGGAGATCTAGAAAGGAATGAGGCCAGGATCATGAATTGATACCTCAAATGAAGCTAACTGAGATAGATTTTGCAGATCCACACAAGTCCCTTGCTGCTAGCTACTTGACCTTCAAGCTCCCTTCACAAGTTCCACCTTCCAAAGCTTGAAACACACAAATGGAACACACACACACACATATTAGGGTTTTGCTGAACTCTCTAGAGGCTGCAAGGGAAGGCTAAGGGGCAAATGATCCTTTAAATAGGGTGCAAAACCCCGGAATTTAGGGTTTCATC